ACCATTTGTACTTAACAGATGTTCGTATCAGCACGATAAAGATGTTCATTCTCCCTTCTTCCCTGCATCATGGCATTCCATAAACCAAGGCATTTAATCCTGCAGAAACACACACTAAGAATTCTTCCTACTGCATTTTTAGAAATTGCTGTGCTCTGATATAAATAATGAGAAAAATAGGACTTTTTTTTTTAAAGGGAAAACACAAATGGGACTGTTTACAAATAAGCCTATTAATCCTTTCTCTTTTCGCAGGACCTCCAGTAACCCTCAGCCATGTCACATTGGTGCGAATTTTTTTTTTTTATAAAACTTTCAGTTTCTAAAAGGTAACTTTTCCATTATGCAGATTCTTTGAAAACCAAGTTTAAATCACTTGTACTTCCTGAATTTTTGACAATATGCACATGCCAAGAAGCTTTTTTCCAAGAACTGAACTCTTCCTTACACATAACAGACTGAGAGAAAAAAGGGCAATTATATAGCCTTACTCTACAGAGAATACATCTGCCAGCGCAAAATGATGACAAGAAACCTTTTCATTCTAGATGCGTAAGAAAAGCCATCAGGCTCTCTGAAAGAGACAAACATATTTCCTTTAGCAGCCTCAGGAACTGTAAAAATACCCTTCTTAAGAGTTGCCCTTCTCCAACACAGGCAAGCTCTATCATTGCTTTCAAAAGAATGGCAACCCAAGTTTAGGCAGATGAACAGCTTACATCCCCTAAGCTTCCCAATGTAAGGAAACTCTTCCACATTCAGTTCAAAGCACCAAAATCAGGCTTATGCACCAACTCTCCCTCAAAAGGCATCAGTCCCTCAGTACTGACCTCTTCTTCTATAACTAGCCACCTTTACCTTGGATAGCTAGTTTAACTATCTGAACTCAGGTAGGCTATTACCTCTGTCCCCTCAATCAAAGTAAGTCACAAGCAGAAGAAAAAACAAAAAAGGCAAAAACCAAAACACTAACCATTTTCTCAATGTAAGAAGAAAAGCATTCAGCAGATGGTCAGAGTAACATTTTACAAGAAGATACAGATCTAATGTCTAGAAGGAAAGAAGCTGTCTATAGAGACCAGCACACACACACAAACCAACCACAAAACCAAAAACCCAAAGAAAAGGAAAGCAGACTAGTTCCAAACCTTTGTTCCTAAGCCCACACCGTGAATTCTGAGCTCAGAATAAAAGGGCTTGGAGCTCAACTTTTGTTCCACAGGAAGAAGATATCCTTAGATGAAAAGTTCATAATGTTTGAGAAGGTCACAGAGGCACTGACCACTGATACATACAGGAAGTTGCATCTTAAAGCATTTTTGCCTTTGCCCTCTTGCCCTCCGCTTCCAGGATGTAAAGCTAGGTCAGCAGAAGGAATCAGGAAACGTTATACAAACTTCACAGCACATACAAGCGCTTCCAGCCAGATTTTGGAGGTGCACAGAAGACATCCAGAGCTGCTGAACAGGATACAAAACCAGTGGAGAGGATCTGT